AGCCTCATATGTACACCCAAAAACTGGTAATGATCTTCGATCACATTTAAGAGCCATAATGGCTCTTGATCACCGTAGATTAATTAGTGGAAAAAAAAATCAGGCCAACTTTTTTGCGTTCGACAAGTTTACTTTGCAAAATCTTGTCAACAAATCTGGGTGCGTGTAAACCAACCTTTTATAGCATTAATACATCACAACTGAGGTGAAACAGTAGTATGAGGCACTGTTTTTATCATACCGGCAAACCTCGGACAGAAAGCAGTATTTCACAATACAAATTAGACTCATTCAATATTCATAAACTGTTAAAAAAATTTCCAAAATCACCTATACGGCCATCCGGTTCTCACTTTTGTAGTGCGAGCTGTGGCGAGTGTTTGAATGAACATTAACAGAGTTACGCTCCAACATTATAAAGAATTTATTATGTTTATTTTTTATTTAATGGTTTAACGCGCGGCATTTTGAGTACTCCTGCAAGCGATGTTCACTGAACGACTGAAAACAATCGGCACAGCGATTAAAATTACAACAGAGACTACTAACAATCAATAAAAGAAATATAATTCGGTGAAACATATACAGAGACAACAATTTTCATTCTGGAAGACAAGTATTAAAGTGTCCCTAAAAATCCTGAGTCTTCAAGCTTCAAGCTTAAGTTTATGTTTTAAGCCGGCTTCCCGGTGTTTGCTTTTTTCAAAGACGAACTCGAGGCAAGAAAATCGCTCAAAGCTTTCTTTTCTGGCCAGAATTATAACTAAATATTCTTTGGAACGTTTTCTTTCTATTTGCGGTGAGAAACTGTCTAAAGGCTTTTTAAAGTTCTGTAAGTTTATATCAAACCTGATACTCGGTCAGATCATTGTCTCAAATCTTACAAACGTGCATAAACTAAATGCCCGCATAAACTCCGCTCGACTTCATTAAATTAGATACAAAAAACAAACATCAAATACAATAATTTCTCTGGCTTACCATTCGAGATGCAGCACCTGAAAGGTATCAAGAACAGCCAGTATCGCTTCAGACTTTGCAATCCTCTTACGCATCAAGCAAGGTGAAAACGAAAACGATGCTATCCGAAATCGGATTTCCGACTTTGACAAGCGACGTATTCCTCAACCAAAAACCCAATAAACAAACTAGCCATGAATAACAGAAGACTCCTGATAGCAGCTGAATTTCATTTTGCACATCCAGTGGAAAAAGACAGTTAAAAACATTACAAGTTGACACAAAACTCTGTCAGCTTCAGCTGTCAAAGTAAACAAGATTCAAGATGCTGCATAAATTTTCCGCATGAACTCACCTGTCAAATTTTGACCAATCAGAGCATAAAAATTGGACGTAGAGCGTGACCAACGCGTGACCATGGTGAGAAAAGTCAAAGGCAACTGTCTTCCCTGCCTGTAACAGCTGGCTGAATTTTCGCGTCCGAGGTCAGTTTGCAATCAAAATTTTGTGTAGCACATAAACACAACATATTTCATATGAATTTAGAAAAAAATTGAACTTGAGCCTGCGAACACTTGAAAACTAGTAACTTGTCAGCGGATAACTTCAAAAAAATACTTGACCTCGATGGGTCGACACCTGAGCCCGCGATACGGTCAAGTGATACTGGTCAGCGGGTACTCTGTTTTGACAGCTGTCAATTGATCAAAACATTGATGTCCAATATGTGTGCATTATCAGTTTAACTAGTAAAAGTATGAGATTGAACATTGTTCGCCATCTAGTAAAACAATTAACAGGTCAACGGACAGCTACCAAATAAATCACGTCACCTCGATGAGTTGAAACATGAGCCCGCGATATGGTCATGGGATACTGGTCAGTGGGTATCCTGTTTTGACAGCTGTCAATTGATCATATTGTGGATGTCCTATACTAAAATCCTATATTAAAGATGTGGACTTGCCAAGACATGCCTGAGACACCCCTCCCTTCCTTTTGATAGTCTCCCCTACCCCACCCGTACAATCTGTAGACGCGTACGTACGCTCGGTCAATCACGTGACAACCAAACGAAAAGAGGTTGACCATATTCCATGAGTATGGGGCTCTGTCCCACGCGCGCTTCGCGCGCGCGGGAGCCCCGCTAAAAATAGCACATTTGGCTATTTCGATGGAATCAACCGAGTTGCGGTCACCTACCCCGATTATGTCTCATGGAAATTAATTAATTTGAAGAGTCAGGTGACAAATCACCTCTTAAAACTAAGGCGAGAGCAACTTTTTTCAAATTTTAATGCTTTGCCTGCAAAAATCGCCGAAAAGTATTATGGTTGTAATAGTTAGTGCTCTCTGATCAAATTTGTCGGATATCTTTTTCATAGATCTATGGGAACCTTTTGTGAATGGTTAAAAGCATTAATGTACGGAATTAACATAAAATAGCAGTATCCTCGCGAAAAATCTACTTTGAGAAAGGTTTTCCTTATTTTTTAATTTAAAAATAATTGTTGGTTTTCACATGACGTCACTAAAATTCAAACTAATATATAGATTTAGCCAGGGCTAAAAGCGAGGTTCCCATTAATAAATTTATAATTTAAATCAAACAATATACTTCTATTCCACAATTCAGTTAACTTTAGAGCACATTCGTGTGACTTTTCAGGGAAAGGCTAAGTGATTTTGCAAAAAATAATTTGCAAACAGCCCAAGAGTGAACCAAATCTCACATCAAGTTGATAGCCTCATAAGTACACCCACAAACTGGCATTCATCTTCGATTACATTTATTAAGAGCCATAATGGCTCTTGATCACCGTAGATTAATTAGGCCTGGAAAAAAAATTCTGGCCGAATTTTTTGCGTTCGACAAGTTTACTTTACAAAATCTAGACTTGCTCACAAGTCGAGCTTTTGAGCGCGTAGCGCGACAGGGAGCGCGAAGCGCGATGGTACGAGCGCCAAGCGCGAAGCGCGAGCCGGATCCTACCACACTAGTCCAGATAACCATGCGAACGACTTTGAGAAAGTCTATACAAAATCTTGCCAACAAATCTGGGTGCGTGTAAACCAACCTTTTATATGATTTATACATCACATCTGAGGTGAAACAGTACTACGAGACACTGTTTTTATCATACAGACCTCGGACAACAGAATGCAGTATTTCACAATATTGCGATAAAAATTGCTATAATTCAATATTCAGGACGATCGAAGCACGCGTAGACTTTAGCGGTAAACCGTTAAAAAAAATTGTCATCTATACGGCCAGCCGGTTCTGACTTTTGCAGTGATAGCAGTGGCGTGTGTTTCAACGAACATTAACAGAGTTAGGCTCCAACATAATAAAGAATTTATTATGTTTATTTTAAAACGGTTTAACGCGCGGCATTTTGAGTACTCCGGGAAGCGTTGTTCACTGAACGACTAAAAACATTCGGCACAGCGATTAAAATTACAAGAGAGAGTACTAACAATCAATAAAAGAAATATAACTCGGTGAAACATATATAGAGACGACAATTTTCATTCAGGAAGACAAGTGTTAAAGTGTCTCTAAAAATCCTGAATCTTCGAGCTTAAGAGCGAATGTCTGTAAATATCGAACAACCGGCGGCCACGGTCAAAAATTAAATTTTGCTCATATCTTGTTCATACATACTTATTAGTAAGTAACTAAACGTGGTGTAGTTTGTTTTTCAAAAGGCCGCTTGGATTTGGAGAAAATCGACAAAATCAATTTTCGTGGTCGGCGACTTGAAAACAACCAAAATTTGAGGCAAAATGAGGCGGTCTCAAAACTTCGCTCGCACGCAAAAAGGAAGAAAGCGTGGTAAAATATTCCCCGATAAATCAATTTATAAAGGATTTTAGCCCTAGTATGGCGGTTAATTCTTATCTTCACGATAATGTGGAAGGTAAACAATTTTATTTTAGTTTTGGTTCTTTTTCAACTCAACGAAGTTTAAATTTAGGCTTCAAGTCGCGATTTAATTTTTAGGCATGTGCTACACCTTGGTTTTTCCTGAAACTCAAG